ATAAATTTTAGTATTAATACTATAATTCTTTAATAAATAAATAACAAAGTTGACATTTTTTTTTTATTACATAGCTCATAATAAATAATTTTTTCAGGAAAGGAAAACATTTTTTTTTTAACTCTTTCAATATGAGACTCATTTGAGAACTTTCTTTTAAGTTTTTAACTTTTTTTAATATTAAATTTTAACTAAGTATTGAAAAGTTAATAACTTTATAAAATTTTTAAAAATTTTCATTATAAAACTTATCGATTTTTAAATACAATACTTTATCAATCACTTTCTCAATAAATTTAACTTCTAACCAAGGAAGCCCTAATAGAAAAATAACACCTTATCTGCTCAAATTGGCATGTCATTTTGATCGGTATTGAGACTATCATAGAGTGCCTTTAATTAATACCATAACAACAACTAAATTAGGGTATCTTCTATTGTTTGAAAAAACCACACCAAAAGTATATTTTTCCTGTCCTTGAGCTCACGTACAGAATAAAAGCAGAGCATATGCCTTCGGGAGGAAGTTTGCATTCTAAATGATTCCGAATTGTTTGGTTTTTTTTTTTAGGGGATAAACAAGTGGTCCTGTATTACAAAACAACAAATTCCCATCGTTTCAAAACTCCAAGAAAGATGTGGGGTTGGATACTTGGGGATTTCCTGTTACCATACCTCAAATTTTAAAAAATCACAATCAAGTCCAGAAAGTGATCATCCTGGTTATTCAGTTCAGTGAAATTCATATTAAAATTCTACACAATTACAGGACAGAAGTTTCATTTAGAAGGATTGGTTATATAAACTTGGATTGAAATTTCAAAGATTGGTTTTTTTTCATTTTTGATTCGAATGTTCTTTGTTCGCTAGTTCTTCCATAGAAACAGGTAAAGGTCCAATCTTCTTCTCTCCCTCCTTCCATTCCTCTACCACCTGGTCTCACTGTACATTTGCCAAAAACTTATTTCCCTAAACCAGAAGAGGAGGAAAAAAACAGAGCAACATCCTTCTATTTCTCTACCATTAACACCATCGTTACTGGATTTTACTAATACCCAGTCGATTTGTAGCCATAACATTCCTAAACCCACTGTCATCACCAAACTGCATAAACATACCGCCGCCATTCTGTTTCTGCTGCAACTGCAACATGTAGTTCTTCACCTCCACTTTTATCATCTCCTGCATCACAGCCATGAACTCAGCACCGAACCCCATAACCCCACTTCCTCCGGTTTGATTCGCTACAGGTGCTGAATTCGTGTTAGCACTTGCACTTGAGTTTGCGCTGTTCACTGGAGGTGACTCTAGGGGGTGGTTCGACACCTCAGAGGAGTCTGCGCCTGGTAGAGACAGGCTCAGGGAGGTCGGGGGATCGTTTGACGATGACGTCGTCTCTACCGCCGGGGAAACGTTGACATCTACGTTAACCCCACCGGTTCTCGCCACCGGCCTGTACAGATGCGAGGAGGACAGAACTGGAACACTAGAATGGCTCACGTCGGACCCCGTCGGGCTACCTGGGCTTATGTACAGCCCGGTGGAGACCAGGCATCCAGATCCCGCGCTCACCGATCTCTTCAACGGTTGCTGGTGCTCAGCTATCAAATCACCATCGTACCCTCCGCTGCTCCCAAAATTACCATCCTCCATCACCGACGAGCACTTCCGCTTAAGAGTCGAGTTCCAGTGATTCTTCACGGCGTTGTCCGTACGGCCGTTGAGGAGGCGGGCGATTGTAGCCCACTTGTTGCCGAAACGCGCATGGGCTCGGATTATCATCTCATCTTCCTCGGGAGTAAAAGCGCGGTGCTCCACCTGCGGCGAGAGCTGGTTACACCACCGCAACCTGCAGGACTTCCCCGATCGGCCAGGAATCGATTTACTGATCAAGGACCAGTTCCGGGGACCATGCTTCTGGACCAACCTCTGCAGCAAATCATCCTCCTCGGGGCTCCACGGGCCTTTGATCCGATCCATTTCGTTTGTGTTTGCTGCCATGAAAAGGAAAGAGAGGAGAAAGAGTTGTCTTGAAATGGATTTCGGAAGAAGAATGGCGTGGGGGTGGAATATATAAGAGGAGGGGGAGCGGTGACCGGAGGAGGCGGTGAAGGGTTAAAGCAGGAGGAAGCGTTATGGACACCGCTTCTTCCAGGTAGGCGGTTAGGCTTGCGATACAGCTGGCAAACTAACACGCGTCACGTCTCAGTTGCACTGAGTTACATACGTCACACTCTCTCTGTCTTTAATATCTTCTGTGTCCCTTTTTCTTTCCGCTTTTTAGCCCACTCTCACATCAAGGAGAGTTGATCCCACTCGCCTTCACCCTCATTATTATTTTCAATCATCCCAATGAAAGCCTCTCATTTAGAACGCCGTTTAGAGTAATAGTTTAAATATTATTGGTAATTTAATAATTAATAAATTTTATTATATTTAATTTAAAATTTGAATTTGTTTAATTTAAAAGAAAAATTAATACCAATGATCTGTTAATACAAGTGGAAATAGTTCGGTTCTCTTTAAATAAGATTTGGAACTCGATTTTTCTTAAATAAGATTTTGAGTTCGAATTTTATTTTAAAAAAAATAGGTATTGAAAAATTTTTTTCTTAATGGGATCCGATGCGATTCAATTTTAAATTAATTTAGATCCAATGTAGTTATCGGATACCAGGATGTTAATAAAAATATGAATAATTATTTATAAAATGTTAAAATAAATAATTTTAATCTTTAATTCAATTTTATTAAGATTATTTTTTTGATTTTATATAATGAGAAGTAATATTATTTTATTTTTTTAATTTACTTTATTTATATGTTATGTAATTTAAATTTAAAATATTTTATTTTTATAAAAAAATCACTATTAAATTATTTAAAATTTTATTGGTACTAAAATCAATTTCAATTCATTAAAACAAAAAGGACTTTAATTATAATTTCCCTCTGTCTAGGTACAAACACTTCTATATGGCACGTTTAGCTACTTTCTCCCTAAAAAGTAGTCTGAAACATGTGGATAGCGTTTCTTAAATGTTCATACTTCATAACATTACTAAACCATTCAAAACTATATATAATAAATTGAGTTCTATAGTTGAAATGTTGACTGTATGACATAATAAAATTATAATTATTATTAGGATTTTTTTAATTTGTACCCTTAGGGTATAGGTTAATAATGTCTTTTTTGTTATAAATTATATATATATAAATGTTAAAATTGACATTAATTTTAAAATTATTATTACTTGGATAAATTTAATTGAAATAATGATAAATTACATGTTAATATTTATTTTTTCAAAACTCTTAACATGTATCCTTAGGTACATTTTAAAAAAACACTTATTATTATTATTATAAATTGAGCAGTATCTTTTCTTCTTCTTCTTCTTTTTTTTTAATCTGGAAGATAGGCAATGAAAATTGAGCAGTATCTTTGTTAAAGGAGTTTGCCTCATCTAATTAATCATGTTGTAAAATATAACTTTAGAATATATTTGATGTGCACGCGCCGTGTCATGCGGTGGAGTGGAAAATAATTTTTACAAAATTTTAGTGCTTTGGAAGTTGTTGATACAAAACCGAACTCTGCGTGCCATAATATGTTTATAAAAAAAAAAAAAACCAATAAAAAATAGTTTTATATCATATTATTATAATATAAATTT